ATTCAAGAGTGATAATAAAAGGAAAGATATAGTTGATTAGTCATGTAAGGAATATAAAATTGCTACATCAATATAAAGTGATAATAAAAGGAAAGACAGTTGATTAGTCATGTAAGGAATATAAAATTGCTACATCAATATAAACAATTATTTAAATAAAGAAAGAAGATGATGTTGTGGAAAAAACCTTAGTATTTGTAATAGCTAGAGATAATAATGGTAATGTTTTAAATATTTCTGCATTTGTATTAATAGTGTATGGATAATTGATGCTGGTATTATAGATCATATAACATTTAATTCTAGACATGTCTCATCTCTTGATTCATTCTTATAAAAATTTGTTTTTATCATTAATGGTATTTTAATCCTGGTTATCAGGGAAGGATCTTTAATCCTCATTGATACTTTAAGTTTAGACTTTACTCTAGTTTTTCAATAATTATATTATAACTTGTTGGTAATTTTTCAAATAACATTGGCTTTATCTTGTGTGGTAATTTTCAAGATGAATATTGTGTGTTTAAGGCCATTTAAATCAAGTAGATGATTGATTATAATATTAAACAAAGGAAGTTGTATTACTTGGACTTGATGTAAGAAATTCATGACAAGTTATGTCAAGTTTTAATAGTAGATAGATGTAAGGGGAAGAAGACAATTAAAATCTAGTTATAACATAGATGTCTACGGATGCTTCTTTTGGTTATCTAAATATTATTTTAGAGTTTTTTTTAAATGATGTTTCTAGTTTTTAGTGTGATATTTGTAAACTAATGAAGAGCCATAATGCTTCATTTCATTAATTCACATTCATTTATGATTAAACATTTTAATGTTTATGGTATATCTAAAGTCACTATCTTAGATGAATCACATTGGTTTATTATCTTTATTATTTGTTATTTCAAAAGTTTTATACATAGATGAAAGGTTATTTGTTGTAATAATAGAAGAGAATATCATAGTTCTTAACTTCAACAATATTTAGAAGCATGAAAAATTATTCATCAAATTACTTATTCTAATCAACCTAGCAAAATAAGGTCGTTGAGCATAGAAATCATATGTTAGAGGTTATTCATGCTTTATTGATAAAAACTCATACATTGTTTATCTTATTTAGGAAAAGAAAATTGAAACATTGGATAACCTCTAGTTTTATTGATTTTAGGATACTATTTCAAGGTCTTACTGATATAGTTTATGCCTTAGTAGCCTTAAATTTACCACCTTATGTTTTTTTTTTATTATGTAACATTTGTATATCTCCATAAACACCATAGCAATAAGTTGACTTCTCAAGCCTTACAATTTATTTTCTATCGGTATGTCAATCATTAAAAAAGATACTAATATAATCACCCTTTAACTTGATAAATGTTATCATAATGGATTTTCTTTTACATGAAGACACTATAATTTTTTCCTTTGAGGTTGAACTTTAAGACAATAGCAGAAGAAAATCTAAACTCCAGACTATTATTTTCTAGATATAAATTTGGATTTCAGTAAATTCAAATATCTAATTAGTCATCATGTATCTAAACATCATGTATCATAATCAAATTCATTATTTGTAAATTAATTATCTATTGTATCTATTCCTAATAATGTTCAATAAGCTTTATTTTACTCGAGTTGGAAATAATCTATAAGCAAAGTGATGAAATTCTTGAAAGAAAACGCAATATGGGAACTCATTGATCCTCCACTTGGAAAGAAACTACTTGGATATTGATGGATTTACATGTTAAAGTACAAGACTAATGATAAAATTGAACACTTTAAAGCAAGTTGGTGGCAAAAAATTACATTCAAACCTATTGGATTGTATATTTACTCATGTAGCCAAAATCAACATAGTTCAAGTCCTATTATATTTACCTGCAAACTTAGATTAGCCATTACAAAAATTTGATATAAAGAACAACTTTATACATGGTAAATTATTCAAAAAAGTCTACATAAATCTCCTACTAAGGTTCATTATTTCTATAAGTTAAAGTCACAAGGTGTGTAGATTGAATAAATCATTATATTGATTGAAATAATTTCTAAAAGTATGATTTGAAAGGTTCATAAAATCTTTAATAGCTTTTGACTATCATAAAAGCAATTCAAACCAAACATTATTAATATCTCTTAATAGTATTATAACAATAGATAATTTGTGGAGTTGTTTAAGATTATATATGAGAATCAATTAGTTGAGATTCTTATCAAAGTATTTTCAAATAAATTGTATTTAAAAATTTTAATCAAGTTGGTCATGATTTATATCATGTACCTGATTGTTGAGTTTTCTTGAATATTTTATAGGGATTATACAATTATAGTTGTATAATTATCATTTTTTAAATTTAGTTTAATTAGTATTACGTGTCTATATATATATATATTAAAAGAGAATAAAAAATGAAATAATAAATAAACTGAAGAACAAAAGACAACTAACAAATATAAACAATAACATCATTTAATATGATTGTATTGAAGAATTTATAATTTGTTTGATAGAAAACGAGTAATTATTATAACAATAACATCATTTCAGAACAAGTACTATTAAAATATATAAAAAAGACCTAATAATTCAGTTCAAGGAAAGACATCATACATATGGTCATTTCATAAAAACAAAAAAATGAAAGAAATGGAAAAAACATTATGCACATATTTACATGTTTCTATTCACTATTATACACTATAATTACTTTTTTGACCTTCCAATAAAAAAATATTAACTTGCTTTTAGGAGCAATTTAGTTATTTGCACACGAGCCAATGATCATTATCCAATATAAGGTAATCTTATATTTAAACCTTGTATAAACAAAATTTAAAGACAATATTATCTTTAAAAATTAATTTTATTTAAAAATTTAACAGAGTTAATTTGATACTTTTATATTTTAGAAATAGTATAAAGACTTTTATACCCTTAAAAGCATAAAAGCTCAATTTTTACTTTTTTTATGACTTTTTATTTCAAATTATTTTTGTTTTAAGTTTAGTTCTTATTTTTTTTTAATTTTCATTTATTTTGTTTTGAAAGCTTTTATTTCTTAATGTATTTTTTTTTTAATTTTATCCCCTATCATTTTGTTGATTTATAATTTTGTTTTATTGGTTTTTAAGGTTTGTTTGTTATAGTGTTAGTCTCAAATTCATAACTAAAGTCATAAGTTTTGAAAGTTAACATGATTTGATTTTTATTTTTTAAAGATTTTTTCATTTAAATTGATTTTTTTAATTTGATCTTTTAACAGTTAATTTATTAAAAATTGTTTTTCGGTCTATTGTTTTCACTTTTATTTCTATGAGATTAGCGGGTTAACATGAATATTTTTTCATTATTTTTTAAATATTATTTTGTTATGATTTTGTACTTGAACATTGAGATGCTATATAATTGAGTTTCATAGTTTTATTCAGTTTATTTTTTATGAGGTTATTCTAATATTTTAACCAAATCATAAATTTAACATGTTAACTTAGATAAATTTAATTTTTTTATTTTTTTTATTGTTAATTTTTTTTTATTAATTTATTTAGTATCATTGCATTTTTTATTTGTATTATTTAAATTAGTTGAGGTAATCATCTGAATCTCAAATTTTATTTTGAATGTTTGCATCACCTTGGATTCTCTTTTCAACTTTAGATAAAATTTGGGTTAGAATCCTCTGCTTAGTTATTAATATCTACTTTATTATTCACAGAGTAACTTACCATGCCTTTACCATTTCAAAGAACATTTACTAAGGAGATCTTCAAGAAGATTTAATTGAAACTACAGTATCTTTAAATTCTAATTAAAGCATTTTAATTCGGAACTACAATGCTGATTTTGTTCCATGTTTCCTTAACATGTACTAATTAGTTAACACACACACAAATACACACATACATATTTGTGTGTGTGCACGTATGTGTACACAATGGATTTTAAATTAAACTTTTCAGTAATATTACTAAAACAAAATAGATAAAAGATAGTTGAGACTACATGAGATTAAACATGACTGTGTTTGATAATTATATATAAAATATAGTGAATGTCTCTATATTTTGTTTACTTAATGATAAACAAGATCAAAAAAATTATAAAAAAAATTGTTTTATTATGAATATATATAAATTTTTGAAATAATGAATATAAATTATTATTTTCACTATAGTGTATAATAAGCATTAAATTTTTTTCTTAACTAATTTAAAATGATAATTTCTTATTCATCAAAATCACATTAAAAAAGGATTTTTAATAATCATAAAAGACAATTGATTTCTAAAAAGATAATTTAATTAAATTGTAATTTACTCAGTTATTCAATCATTTCGGTAAATATATTAAATAATAAAATAAATAATTATACCAATCACATGTCAAATATAATATTTCCATCCACACAAAGTTATTGAAAATATAGTATAATAATTTCATCACAATTGCATACTTTTTTATTATTATTATTCAATCATCATATCTTCATCTTCAAATCCATTTTTCAAAAACATGATCAATTATATATATATATATATATATATATATATATATATATATATATATATATATATATATATATATATATATATATATATATATATATATATATAGAAAATGCAGATATCATGAACTGAAAATTAATTAAGTAGAAAGGAAAAATAAAGCATTGTGGAAAATTAATTTATTCATGAATTTAATTAAGTTTCAATCTAAGCCTTAACATAAAATGCAAAACTTGTCATCTCACAAATATTTTGACGGCATTAATTACAGCATCGATCTCTTTAGTATCTTCACTTTTTCCTTCCTTTGTTCTTGTTCTCTTATAGCATACTCCAGCTTCGAGTTCCGAATAACGCAGTTACAAACCAATAATTTTCTTTTCCCTGTTCTTTCGTCCTTCAAAACTTGCTTTGAAGAAATTTTAAACCTAATCCTTCCATGCTGTGTCTATCCATACTAATGCACGGCCATGTCTCCAAGGGACTTACATTTTGCTTTGAGAGATCATTTCTACCAAATCCACTTCCTTCTCCACTTCAAAACCCATAAATGGAGTCGCATAATCCTGTTCTGGCACCTTCATCTCCAATCTTTTCTCATGAACAGAAGAATGATCACAAGGGAGCCCATCAAGAATAGAATCAACACTGCAGCCCCCTTGAAACATTTTCTCTTGAATATCAAAATCCGGGACTTCACTGAAACTATAAAATGGAACCAATCCACCATCATTATCTTTGAAATGGACCAAGTCCTGCTGCTCTGGTGCCTTCTTATTGGCAGTATTATCTGGTATGACATCAGCAGCAGTGCTAGCAGTAGTTATCCCATGACCTTGCCATGTAGTGCCCGAATTTGAGTTCAAGCTCTTGATATAATCTTGCAGAAGGGTGGCTCTTGGATACTTTGGTCGACATTTTCGCTTCGAGTATTGCTTCCTTTTGGTTGCATTCCAGTGGTTCTTAATTGAGTTTTCTGTCCTTCCTGGCAACCTCTTAGCGATTTCTGCCCATCTGTTACCTAATACAGAATGTGCCTGTATCAGTACCTTGTCCTCCTCTACACTCCAAGCATCCTTCTGTAATGAGAATAACCAAAGAAATGATAAGAAAACGAGCTGCTATCCTTCTCCAACATATGAATATAATGCCAAGACACATATACACATGCCATCCATGCATGATTCCTGTGCTGTTAATTTACTTTATTTAACGTCAGACAGGATTTGGATCCATCCTATTAGCCCTTTTAGCTAATGTATCAGCAAGAATTGATCAAGAATCTAATATCTGCAAATAATATTATACTTTTGACTAATACCATGAATTGTATTTGTGATTCTTGGTAAAACAAGTGAAGACATATCAAAATAGATTACACTGCTATATACACATAAAATGACAGAAGCTAGGGAAATTGGGAAGAAATGTTAACCTTGATATCAGGCCTTAGATGGTTATGCCATCTCTCTCTACACTGCTTTCCTATCCTTCCAGACAACATCTTAGCAACATCAGACCATTTCCTCACTCCATACTGTTCAACCAGCTGAATCAAGAGCCTGTATAAACATGCAGCATGTATAACAACGCCATTTTTACCCGCTAATTTGAGGAGAACGCCAATGAACATTGGAAAAGAAAACCCCAAAGATGCATGCCTAATTAGAACAAAACAACTTAGATATATTCATGTACCTATCCTCCTCTGTAGTCCATTGCCCCTTCACTACACTGTTCTTCGTACGACCTTTCCATGTCTTTCTTGCCAAGGGTAGAAGTGTGCTCGTCATGTTCAAACCCATGTTGTTTTTGCACTCATTCTCAGCAGTGCCCACGCATGAGACTTCATCTTGAGCATCAAAACTCACAGGCTTGGCTTCTTCGAAACTTAAGGACGTATGGCCCTGGTTGGATCCTATCTCATCAATGGAATTCCTTTGACTAGAGAGGTTCGAGTAGCCACCACTGATCTGGAAATTGTCATTGACTTGACCATGCCCACGACCTCCGTTGATATTACCTGCAAATGGCTTGCATTCATAATCATAGAGATCAATATTTGATGATGGCCCATAAGGGAAAGCATCAAAAGAATCAAAGTTAGAACCAGTTTGAACACCAAAAAGTGGATTTGATGATGACCCATTAGCATTGTCATGATCATCAAGATGACTAAAACCTTGAAGAAAGCCTGTTGATGATGGGCAAGGTGTTTCGAAGGGAAAGTACTCCTCTTCAATGCATGCCTTACTTGACAAAAACATTGGTTCAGAAACAGGGTTTTCTTTTTTAACGTTGTTGTCAAGCTCCATGAAAGAAATTGAAGGACTTACCACCACCTTAATATATACAATTGCTGTTGCTTTAAAAAAAAGAAAAAAAGAAAAAAAAACTTTATAGATTAGTAATTACTAGAAATTTTCTCATATTTCTAATTTCTAGCTTCTTAATTAACGGGTTATTTGGGAAATTTACAATAATATTTTTGTAGGAATCAAATTTGATCGATGGTGTCCCCACACAGATTTGAGGGAATCTAGTATAATGGAAACCTTCTGATTGAATACGTGGCAGTGTACTATTGGTTTGATGGATGTATTAATTTTCCAGTCAATCTAGATATGCCAATGGCATAAATAAGATTAATTACTTAATTACTCACAGAAGAAGAGAAGAAGAGTTAATTAATTCTCTAAGGCGTTTTGCATATAACTAATTAATTCTCTTTCGCTTGATGTGATGCGGCGAAAAGCATGTAACTAACTCAGATTTAACAGTCGACCATGGCAGCTGTTATGTTTTCTTTATTCATTGCAATATTAATTTTTCTTTTAACTTACAAAGCAGTTCAATTAAATGCATTAATTTTCTAATCAATATATGCTCCAAGTTCTTGGAATAGACTACATAAATTTTATAGCGTGACATGAAAACCTGATTTGTAAGGCTCTTGCAAAATATTAATAAAACTTGTACCACCCAAATAAAAAAAATCAAAATAAAATTTATGGTTTAATTTAAAGGGTTAACTCATGACCTTATTAATCTAATCTAGATATAATTTAGTTTAATATTTATTTTTTAAAAAGAAAACTTGATTTCAACTTTTTTTTTAAAAATTAAAATTATATTATTTTGATTTAAAAAAATAATTAAAATATATCATTTTAATTAACTTAAAAGAACTCGACTCAACAACCCATTTCATAACCTGATTTATGAATCAAATTGAGTTTAATAACTTTATCTTGAACAAGAAGTTAATATTTTTCTCCTATAAACCATGAAAAGTATACATGTATTAAAACATTTAAGGAAAATTCCACACAATATACAAGAATAGGTCTAGGCAACTGGTGTCTCGGTCCAATGCCCTAGGCACCAGCCCCACCCCTAAGGCGCTGGGTGCACACCTGACATCGCTTGAACTCTAGCAAAGCACCTTAGCCTAATGATTATAGGCACATGTTGCATGTCTGGGCTCATTTATCACCTGACACTTTCTTTGAATATTTTTTACCAAACAAATACATTTTAGATCTTACTCTTCCTACACTGATAAAATAAATACTCCATGAATGCAATATTTTGTGATATTTTGGGACAAGACTCCTGAGATATAAATACTTCATGAATCCTCTAAGATCAAGGTTCACAATATTTTCATTCTCAACCTTTTTAGCATACATATTTTTAGATATTATCTTTTTAAAATATAATTTCATTTTGTCTCTCTAAAAAGATAGTTACTTAAATATCTTAAAGTCTCCACGTTTATCAAAAAATAATTTTTTTATAGGTATCAGCTTCCAGCTATCCCGGTTTACTAGAGACCAGCCACCTTGGCTTACCAAGCAACAATTATCAATCAACATGACTAGAAAAAATGGATCAAATTACGAGAATTAAAAGATTAACAAATTATCCAACACATAATTTGGAGTCAATTTCCATCAAAAGGTTTAGTGACTTATGCTCCAAGCTAATGACGCACTTCAACACTAGTATACCCACTAAGAAAAGCTTCATGGAGTTATTTGGTGTTATCCTACAAGAGGGATAATCTACATAAGCATATTTGAAGATGTTCGATGAGGAAATGCTCAAGTCCAAAGAGTTATTTAAACTAGTAGCCTTAGAGGCCTTGATAATAGAGGTAAATGAATTTTTTTAAGTATAGGTTCACCCTTCACGGGTCATCCCAGCTTCTTAGAATATTTTTTAAGCATAGGCTCGCCATTCTTGGGTTCTCACGACCACTTAGAATTTTTTTTAAGTGCATGCTATTCCTTTATAAGATTTCCCTTGCCTCTTAAATTTTTTTTAAGTATGGGTTCCTCTATGACGCCCTAGAAATATATTAAAACACGATGCATGACTCTATACATAGGCTCTCTAGTAAATTACTTTAAAATTTTCATCCCTCTTCTCATACGAAGAGAATTCAAGAAACTCATCATACCAAACATTTTTATAAGTCTTTGCATATAAATATTACAAAGATTTAAAAAGCTATTGATAAACTCAAATTTAACAGACATGAAATCCTATAAAGACCCAAAAGTCATGGTACAAAAAACAACTCAAGTCCAAGTAGCCTACCTGGATCCATTAGGAATGGGTCCACCCAACTGCTTAGACCTAAAAGAAATGGGTATAAGTAGTTGCTTAGGCCTAAATTCCTCAAGCATAAAGTGTCAGCCCCACTTATAAGGCTCTAGGAGCACGCACCTAGCACCTTGGGTTTAGGGTTTATGACTAAACCCAACGATCATAGGTGCAGACAGCGTGTATAGACCCATATCTTATCTCCAACGAGCTTAGGGTAACTTTTCTGAGCCCAACACTCTTTTAAGATATTTTTTACTAAACCAATACATTTTGAATCTTATTCTCCCTATATCTCTAAGTGCATAAAAATCTTTCATAGCCCGCCACATCTCCATCTTATTAATTTTTGTGGAGGTGATATTTATCCCTTATTAATGTATATATAAGAGATATTTATCTTTCATTAATGCTATAAGGAAAAAATACATTTAAGCTCCTCCTTTCTATAAAAGGACAAGACTCATAAGCTATAAATATTCTATGAATCCTTCAAGTTCAAGATTTATAATCTCTTCATTCTCAACATTTTTAATATATATATTTTCAGAGCATATCTCTTTAAAATATCATTGTATTTTCTCTCTCTACAAAGATATTTAATTAAGCATGTGAGAGTCCACATAGCTATCAAAAAAGACATTTTACATATATCAACTTTCAGCCACCCAGCTTACTAGGCACCAATTATCAGCTATTGTAGTTGAAGAAAATGGATCAGATTGCTAGAACTAAAAGATTAATCGATTATTCAACATATAAATCTTGTTTTTACGCAAGCTACTTGGATATTTTGGGATATTTTCAGTTTAATGGTTCCTTCGTTTTCATATAGTGCATTAGAGACTGCTTATTTTTTTCTAATAATTTCATTATAATATATGATGATATAACGAGGTTTCTTATTCTCAAAACTCTTAAAAAGAAATACATATAATAAAATATAGGAAATAATTATGAATTGATAGCAAAGTTTTAAATCTTAAAATAAAACTCTAAATAGTTTGTTGCTAAATATAAAATAAAAATAATATGGAATCCAAAATTAATACTGAAATAAAAGAGAAGGATAATAAAAGAAAAAACCAAATTTTTTTCTCCATAAAGAGCCTAAAAGTAGGTCTTCTTATTGGAGTTTGATCTCAAAATTGACTACAAAAGGCCTGCAAAACTGTTAAGCTTTGTATGATTTGCGTCCATCCGACACTCGAACTAAAAATTATGATCTGTCTGGCAGAAACAATATACGATCACTCTTCCAAACTGTCTTCTTGAACTTCTAACTATCAAACTAATCCATGTATCGTGTCAATTGTTTTTTTTTTTTTTTTGTCATAATGACCTGTCAAATTAGAAGGATCTATTTTTTGAGGGTTGGGATTGTAAATTGAAGATTATGTTTAATACCTAACATGACACCATACAGCAGCTTGGTGCTAACATTATAGACTAGATGATAGGTTTTCCCAACCTAGACTGACCAAATTGACTTTGTTATTTTAAAAATCATGTCATTCTGTTACATTTTCTAGGGTTTTGTCCATAAATTAATAAAATTACTTAAGTACTCTCTATTTCATTAATTTTCAACCTAATTGACTGCTTTTTTATATATAAAATTAGTTTAAAATTTTAAAAATGAAATAAATAATTTAAATTATACACCAACAAATTCTTGTTTTGGATTAAAAAAAACTAATGCCCTAAAAACCCTTTATTCCTTAAACACTTCTTTCTTTGTTTTTAATTTAATTAATTGATTGACCAAATAATTTCTACTTGTGATTAGATTTTATTTCCAAAAATTACAATTAGTTTTATAGAAAAAAATAAAAGTGGAAATTAAGATAAAATATTATTAAAATGGAATGGTGTTGAAGTTATTTTGTTATTTCTTTTAATGAAAACATGGATGAAACTTTGTATAAAAAAATAGAAGTACTTGATTTCAAATATGTCAAAGGAAGGTCAAAATCAGGATTAAGAATTTCAGAGACTAATTCTCAAAATGTAATTTGATGACATGGGTCATCTATGGGATTAAATTGTAATTTTTTCTTTTTCTCCTTCTCTATTTATATATAAAAAAGCAATCAATTAGGTTATTGTTTCTTTTTATCCTTCTCTATTTATCGATCTCTATTTGGCTTGTTGTTGCTCACTCTCTTACTGATCAATTTGATTTTCTTTAAGGTTATATTTAAGAGTGAGGTTGCTTATGCTTTAAAAAAATATTAAATTGAATTTTTTTAATATTATTTAATAATTTTAATATGTTAATATAAAAAATATAAAAGAATTATTTAAATATATTTTCAAGTATAAAATATTTTTAAAAAGAGCTTTCATTACAATACACACCAAACATAAACTCTTAGCAAGTAATGGGGATCAAAAGTTATTCCAAATTCCCGATTAGACTTCCATCTTGTTTTTTTTTTTTTTTTTATAAAATAGGTTTTGGATTCAGATTTCTTATGTCTTTATCAAAGTTATTAAACCTAATTGTATAAACACAGGTTAATTTAAATAGATTAAAAGGAAAATATTTTCATTTTAAAAAAATAATAAAGTTAAAAAAATGTTATTTTCAATTTTTTTTAAAAAAAATTAAATACCAAATCAAATTAAATCAACTTTAAATTAATTTTTTTAAGCCTAACCTAGAGCATCGGCCAGCAATCAGGTCTTGGATTTAACCTCA